GTAGGGCGCGTGCGCTTGCCAGACAGACAGAGAGAGACATAGAGACAGAAAGTGAGAAATCACCCCCCAGGGGGGATGGTCACGCCGCAATCCCTTCTCCTCCATTCTCCTCTCGGGATCTTGGGCACGCATGCACATGTGCCCGGCGTGAATTTTAAGCCACCGGGTCCGGGACACGAACCACGGTCGGCTACATGGGAGTCCAGCGACATAGCCATTACGCTAACTGCTGGTTCCCCCTGGCGTGAGTTTTAAGCCACTGGGTCCTGGACGTGAACCGCGGTCGACTACATGGGAGTCCAGTGACATAGTCATTACGCTAACTGCTGGTCCCAACCTCAGTCTATTTCTGTATGCCTATTCAGTTTGGTTGAAGAGAATTCTGTTCTCTTTGGCTTGGTAGGTAACTATTTCAGGCCCAGCTTGGGCTGGTCTGGGGATGGGTAGAAATGGCTGATTTTAGACCCACGAACCACAGGGAATCACACCCATACAGTGTGCATTGTTCCACAAACACGTGAAATCTGCGCAGATCCCCAGGACTACAGAGGAGACCTTCATGGCATCCTAACAAGTAGGATGAAAGTGGATTGAGATCTCGATATTTCTTTCCATTACTATTTTCTACAAATCTCCCAGTAAGATGAGTGTCTCTGCTGGGTATGAATTTCATGTTGTAACCTTAGATGGGCAGGAAATATAACTCCATTTTCCTCCATCTGCACTGGTTAGGGTAGACTGGGTTCTGGAACCAGGACCGACATGCCATGGCTCAAAAGAATATTTTCTACTCAACTATTTGAGGTGACTGGGTGAAGGGAGACTGTTCTTGAAATGATTCAGGGACCCAGGCTGACAGAGTCTGCCATTTCCACATGTGGCCTTTAAAACCACCCTGGGTACCGCTGGCCCTGTTGGCCAGGAGAGAGTAAGGAGTTATGGGAGGTATTTATGGGCCAAGCTTGTTCATGGAGCATGTGGCTGAGCAGTGCTCCCAGGACAAAAAAGGTGATTGGCTTTTGGGGAAGAGCTGGTAATCTCTTCTACAGAAACTCCATTTTCTCAGTTAGTCCAATCTATTTCCAGAACCTAATCCACCCTAGCCAGTGCAGATGGAGGAAAATGGAAAAGGGATTGCAGTGTGACCATGCCCCACTTGAGAGACTTTTTTCCCTCTCTCTGTCTCTTGGTAGAAACACAATCCTGCTAAACCTAGAGTTTCTGGCTCTAAATTTGGGGCTGTTCCTGAAGCTAGGGCACCAGAAACAGCCCCCGGGTGTTTGTTATCAATGGCGTCAGTCTAGATCCTGTTTTATTCACCCTGAGTGGCTCCAGTGTTGTCTCTGGTTCCTCTCTGAGAGTCATCTCTCACCCTGGCGCTTGGGATTCCTATGGCTCCCACCTGCTCCCCACCACATGGGCTAGGCTTCTTGGCTGCCTGAGACCATTTCTTCTTCGACATCCACATCATGTGGCATATCTTCTTGGAGATCTTGGCTTCTCTAGGCCTTACCTGTGAAGAGAGAATACGGGAAATAGGCGGGATCTCTCTCTGACATTTCCCTTCAATGCAGGCGACCTGGACCTCCTTTACATTGACTGGCATCTAATCTCTCTGCCCTTCCCTTATTCCATAAATGGGAGACCATTTCTCTTTCTAGATTGGGGGAGAGGTGGTCATCAGCTATTCTGCACATTTATCTCCATTTCTTGAGGTCTTTTCATTCTTCCTCCAAGAGTTTGACTTTTGGATCTCAAGAGCTGGAATAGCTTGCTTGCTTGCTTGCTTGCTTGCTTGCTTGCTTGCTTTCTTTCTTTCTTTCTTTCTTTCTTTCTTCTTTCTTTCTTTCTTTCTTTCTTTCTTTCTTTCTTTCTTTCTTTCTTTCTTTCTTTCTTTCTTTCTTTCTTTCTTTCTTTCTTTCTTTCTTTCTTTTTAAAATTTTTTTGGAGAGGTTTTTGCTATAGGGCATGTGCGCTCACCAGACAGACAGAGAGAGACAGAGAGAGACAGAAAGCGAGAAATCACCCTCCAGGGGGGATGGCCACGCTGCAATCCCTTCTCCCCCATTCTCCTCTTGGGATCTTGGGCACGCACGCACACACGCCTGGCGTGAGTTTAAGCCTCAGGGTCTGGGACTCAAACCGCGGTCGACTACGTGGGAGTCCAGCGACATAGCCATTACACTAACTGCTGGTCCCTGGAATAACTTTCTATATTCCTAACCCTGTCCTGAGACATTAGATGCCTAGCATCTGTGCTTGAATGGGAAAATGCCTAGAGAACAAAAATTAATTCAAATTTTTTTTGTTGTTGTTGTTGTTGTTGTTGTTTTTGAGAGGTTTTCACTATAGGTATAGGGCGTGTGCGCTCGCCAGACAGACAGAGAGAGTCAGAGAGACAGAAAGCGAGAAATCACCCCCTGGGGGGGATGGTTACACTGCAATCCCTTCTCCTCCATTCTCCTCTCGGGATCTTGGGCACGCACGTACACGTGCCCGGCATGAGTTTTAAGCCACCGGGTCCGGGACACGAACTGCGGTTGACTACGTTGGAGTCCAGCGACATAGCCATTATGCCAACTGCTGGTTCCCTTAAATTTGTTATTTTTGAGAGAGAGAGAGAGAGATGCAGAGATAGTGAGAGGGAAAGTGAGAAATCACTCCTCAGAAGGGATGGCCACACTGCAATCCCTTCTCCTCCATTCTCTTCCTGGGGTCTCGGGCATGCATGCACACTCACTCAGTGTGAGTTTCAAGACACCAGGCACAGGACTCGAACCACGGTTGGCCATGTGAGAGTCCAGCGACACAATCACTATGCCATCTGCTGGCCACTTGATTCAAGTTTTAAAATATCACCCCATGTTGGCCATTATTGTGCCTGCTTTATAGACAAAGTAACGAGGCTCAAGAAAAATGTCAGATTGGGAACCAGCAGTTAGCGTAATGGCTATGTCGCTGGACTCCCATGTAGTCGACCGCGGTTCGCGTCCTGGACCAGGTGGCTTAAAACTCACACCAGGCGTGTGTGCGTGCATGCCCAAGATCCTGAGAGGAGAATGGAGGAGAAGGGATTGCGGCGTGACCATTCCCCCTGGGGGGTGATTTCTCGCTGTCTCTATGTCTCTCTCTGTCTGGCGAGCGCATGTGCCCTATAGCGGAAAAAGAAAAAGAAAAAAAAAGAAAAATGTCAGATTCAAGGACACACAGTTTTTAAGTGTCAGAGGTCATAACTCCCTGATATCCATGTCCCTGGGCTTCCCCACTAGGACATTCTGATTTTCACATGGTCTCTAGGGCATGTGTGCTCGTTGAAGAGAGCGGAAAGTGAGAGATCATCCTCTGGGGGATGGCTACACTGCGATCTCTTCTCTAGTCTTCTCTTGGGCCTTGGGCACATACACACATTGCGCCTGGTGTGAGTTTCAAGCTGCCATATATGGGACTCAAACCATGGTTGACCACATGAGAGTCCAGCGTACTAGCCACTATGCCACCTGCTGGCCCTCCCTTATTTGAAAAATTGCCAGAGGGCATGTGGGCTCACCACAGAGACAGAGAGAGGGAGAAAACACTCCCTCATGGGGCGTGGTCATGCTGCAATCTCTTCTCTCCATTGCTCCATTCTTTTGGAATTTTGAGCATGCATGCACATGTTCCTGGTATGTTTTTCAAGCTGCCAGGGCTGGGATTTTAACTATGGCCAGCCATGTGGGATACGTCTTCCTTAACCACTAGGCTACTGGCCCAATCCGATTCAATTCTGGCACTACCTGGGGATCGGGTTAGATCCCACGGGCTGAGGGGTCATTCTCCAAGACTGTCCTCCCCCACCCCCGTCACCTTCAGACTCTAATGGCAGGTCCAGGTCTTCCGAATATCTGACTGGCAGCTACTAGGTGGTGTTCCTATGGTCCTCTTCCCTTCTTGGGTCCAATTAATTGGCTGGAGTGGCTCATAGAACTTGGGGAAATAAATACAATGATCAGTTTATTATAAAGGATCTTGGGGCGGGCAGGTGGCATGGTGGTTAAGGACACTGGACTCCCACATAGCTCACAGTGGTTTGAATGCTGGTCCTGGAGGCTTGCTTCTTCACTTTCCCTCTCTCTCTCTCTCTGTGCCTCTCTCTGGAAACATTATTTTTAAAAAATGAATAATAATAAATAAAGTTAAATGAAGTAATTCTTTAAAAAATATTATAAAGGGGACCAGCAGTTAACGTAATGGCTATGTTACTGGATTCCAATGTAGCTGACCATGGTTCGAATCCCGGGCCCGGTGGCTTAAACACAGGCCAGACGTGTGTGCGTGCGAGCCCAAGATCCCCAGAAGAGAATGGAGGAGAAGGGATTGTGGCGTGGCCATCTTCCCCCTGGGGGGTGATTTCTTGATTTCTGTCTCTCTGTCTCTCTTTGTCTGTCTGGCAAGTGCCCTATAGCAAAAACCTCTCCCAAAAAAAAAAAAAATGATAAAGGATCTTTTAAAGGACACAGATGAAGAGATGCACAGGACAAGGGAAGGGGCATAGAGTTTCCATACTCTTCTGAGGGGCACCACTGTCCAAGAACCTCCATGTGTTTAGCTGTCTGGAAGCTCCCAGAACCCAGCACTTTTGGGTTTTTATGGAGACTTCATTACATAGGCGTGGGATGCTAACAGACTAGGCTGGAAAACCCATCAAGGCCTATCTACTGAAATTCTTGGAGTTTCTATGACCTCCTTTGGGGTAGGTGAAAGGAGGATCTCTGTCTTTTGCCTTTCTCTCTCTGAAATGTTCTGAAGCTGTTTCAGGAACCAAGGACAAAAGGTCAAATACTTATGAGCCAGGAACCATGGATCAAAACCAAAATATATCCTAGGAAATACACAGCCCAGTGAAACGCTGACCCAGAACATGTGTGCGCACACCACACACACACACACACATACACACACGAGAAGCCAGAACATTCCCTTCAATATATATTTCTCTGAAGAGCAGCCCAGTGTCAAGAAACTAAGGGGATCTAGAGCATAAAATGTGGCCCCCCCCAAGGTGGATGAAGGCAGGTCTGGAGGCCAGGTGAGCTGAAGTAGGATAGACAGGTGGCTTGGGTGTTCCTGGGCGTGTGGGTTGTCTAGATGTTGAGCTGCTTGGATGGTAGGTTTCTTGGCGAGGGGATGTCTTAGCCGCTGAGTTTCTTGCACGATGGCTGACTTGGCTGGTCCGTTTCTTGGTGGGTGGGTTGGTTGGGGAGTGGACTCCTGGGCTGCTGAGCCTGGTCTTCATACAAATAGGATATAGTAGTAAATGATGCCTAAACCGAGGAGTATGGCGAACACATCCAGCCAACCAGTTCGACCTGAGTTGGCGTAAGCCTCTTCCCATTCACTGTTTTGGTTGGCCTCCATGGTCTGTAGGGATGGGAATATGAATGTGGGCTTCTGAGTTTAGAAAGCCTTGGGAGAAGAGTTAGAAACCTGTGGGAAAACCCCTACCCTCGTCTCAGGACAGTAGCAGATAAAGGGAGCAAGTCAAGGCCAGGTCAGGCCAAGGCTGGGGCATTATTTTACCTTATAACTGAAGTAGATAGCTGCAATCCCCAAGGGAGGGAATAACAGGACAGCAAAAGCCGTCAAGCATGGATAATGCGGAGCGTAAAATGCCAGTTCTTCGGGTGTCTGTGTAAGCTCTGGTGAAGGCTTGTAGGCCTCAGCTGGAGCCCCCGGAGCGGCCCCTGGTGCTCCTGGAGCGGCTGGAGCCCCTGGAGCGGCCGGGGCCCCTGGAGGCGCTGTGGTCCCTGGAGCGGCTGGGGTCCCTGGAGCGGCTGGGGCCCCTGGAGCAGCTGAGGCATCTGGGGCATCTGGGGCGGCTGCAGGTGCCGAGGCAGGATCAGGTTTTGGACCCATGTCCTTTGCACTCAGAGACAGGCCCTGAAATCAGAGAGCCCCATCCACTGCGCCTCCCCTTGCTCTAACCTGAATCCCAAGACCCAGACCATCAAAGGCCAACTCTTCACAATGGCGAAATCAACACCTCAAGTCCTGATTGGCTGCGCTCATAAGGGGCGTGGTTCCGCTGTTCACTCCTCTCCAGGACTCGGAGAGTGGAGCGAGCTTTGATTTTTCTTTCCCTGATGGTGATTGGTTAGAAGCCACAAGTGCCGGGTCCTGGCTCAAATGAGGCACGCAGGCAGTATAGGAAGGCCTCCCAAGAGCTAGAAAGAAAGAAAGAAGTAAGAAAACTAGAAGATTTACAGAGGGAAGGAAAATGAATCCTGTCAGTAACCGGCTATAAAGTACTGGATTAAAAGGGATTCTTTTAGTTCATACTGACAGCAAGAATAGAGAATAGTGAAAAGGGGGAAGTTTTTCTCAAATACTCAGATAAAATACTATCTAATAAATATAAATGGAATCGAAAATCACTATTGTGGTGGACGACATTCTGAGATGGCCCTAAGGTTCCCACTCTATGGTATACACACACTTCTCAGTTATTCAGTCAAATACTAATACATGTGTTGCTATGAAAGGCTTTTGCAGGTGTGATTAAAGCCCCCAGTTAACTTTTTTAAAAGATGTATTTATTTAATTTTTTAAAAAGATTTTTGCTATAGGGTATGTGCATTCCCTGGAAAGACAGAGAGAGACAGAGAGACAAAAAGTGAGAAATCACCCTATAGTGGTGATGGCCATGCCAAAATCCCTTTTCTTCCATTCTTCTCTCGAGATTTTGGGCATGCATGCACACATGCTTGGGGCGAGTTTTAAGCTGCCGGGTCTGGGACTCGAACCACGGTTGACTCTGTGGGAGTCTA